ACATTATCTTCTTTCAACAAACCCCAGAGTAGTTCAACTATACTGCTCAGACAAGCACAACTCTCCCCTTATGTAAACACACATACAGGATCTGTACTTTTTTTTTTTGCATAATGATGAATATGTTTGAAAATGCTGAGCGTGTTGGATTAAAGGGATGCTGCTTTGTTGAGTTGCAGGGCCGTATAATAAGACAAGGCTGCTCTGCTCGCTGTAGCCGGTTGTGCCCTCTGGGATATAAAAGAACCCAACTCATCACAGAGCAGAGCAGAGCAGAGCAGAGGAGAGCAGAGCACTCCTAACTAGCGTAGAGGTCATTCACAGAGCTGATCACAGCAAGACGAAGGGGAAACACGGTGGACAGCCGGATCAAAAGCATCCGGAATGAAGACAAATATCCACCGAGGCATCGTTTGAAAAAAAGATGAGACAGGAGCAGTGAGGAGACTTATGCTTTAATGTAAAAATCCTTGATGTGTATTCAGATCACATGAAGTTGTGGCGCATGCAATGTTGAACCGATCATGATGAGGTTGGCGTGACACCGGAGCACACTTCAAAGCCGACAAAGCAGCGTTTTGTTGAACTGTAAGTGGAACAGAAGTTTGGGATCCCCAGCAAGGTTGTGAATCTGACTGTATACCTTTTGAAGTGTGCTCAACAGTTTGTTTCCTGCTGAAATGTGTATTTGCATTGAGTGAAAAAGTCAGAACCGACAGTGGTGAACCCACAGACTGTTCTAAAGTGTGTGGCAGTAGATCTGAGGACACCAGGGATGAGAAGTTTATTGATTGTGTGAGAGTAATCCTAGTAGCCTAGAAGAGAGCACAAATTGGCATTTTGGCCATAGTGTGAAATTATAATCAGCATAAAATTCCCACCAGATGGAGTCCAGTTCACTTCAGGGACCTGGAAGTTCTGTCCACTAATTATATACTGTCAGTGGCTCAGACACTGTTAAGACTGAGCACAAAACAGCATCACTGCATGCAGTTTTACCTGGAATGGCATAAACTGAGGTGAAGACACATCCAAGGCTGTATTTCATGTACAGATTCTAAGGAAAACGGTAAAAGACCGAAAGGCTTCTGAGCTGCCACACACACACACACACACACACACACACACACACACACACACACACACACTTATGCACACATGCATACGTCGCTAACTAACAACTGTAACATCTGGTGGTTTAGTTTAATGACGGGCCGGCCTTCGTACCGCCCTTCCTGTGGACCGGCCGTGTGGTTCGGGGGCGACACCCTACACTCAGGTGGCTTAGACATCCCTTGATAAGTTATGTTGGCTGATGGTGTCCTGACCATCCCTTGTTTGTGCTATGGCCTGACTTGGGGATTTCCCTGGTGCTGGCACCCGCCTTGCCCTTATGCATGTTCTACCCCCCGTTGCGGTTGGATCCTGGTGGGCCGCTGGCCTTCCGTTTCTGTGCACCTGTCTGTCTGTCTGTCGCTCTCTCTCTCTCTCTCTCTCTCTCTCTCTCTCTCTCTCTCTCTCTCTCTCCCCCCCCCCCACCCACACCCACCCCCCCCAACCCCCCTAGGAGGGTCCTTCCTTTTCTTGCTTTTTTTTTTTTTTCCTTTTTCCCTTCCCCTCCTTTTAAGGAGTTGGTTTTGTTTGGTGTTTTTTTTTTTTATAATAAATATTAAAAAAAAAATATTTTAAATTTTAAAGTGTCCTGGATAACTTCTGTTATGAATTGGCGCTATACAAATAAAATTGAATTGATTGAATTGAATTCAGTTGGCTGTTAGGGGCGATAAACACAGACTTCAAAAAACAATCCAGCAGTTTAATACTCATGAATTTTTTCTCAAGGCTAAAATTAACTTCAGGTTCACTCTGAACACACTGTGAGACTAGAGGTGTTGTGGTGTGCCTGTATTGATGATAGCTGTGATATTTAAAAAAAGAATATGATATCATGTTAATACACATATTATAATATTGTGTAAATAATCCAGCGCTTCTTAAATAATTTCCTTTTCTTTCCATTCTGGCTTTGTGGTTCACAAATGGTTCTTTTTGGGTGCTTTTGTAGAGTTACGGTCACAGATTCTATATATCTATATATCGCAATTATATTGTTATTGTGAATTCTTTTGGACATGATAATTGTGTAGTGAAAATCTTTCATTTCGACACTGACAGGCCTATGTGAGATGATATTAATGAGAAAAACGGCAGCACTGGTTATTATTTCCACGGGCGTTTCCAGAGGCGGGGGTCCTGGGGTGCCACTGACCACTCCTGAAATTTGATTGGCCACCCCACATGCCACCTCATTAATCTTACCTCTTCCACTCCACACTGTCTTTCAAAGGCTGTAGTGGGCTTTGTTTGGAAGCTAAACTGTAATGCGATAAGTTAATTTAACTCAAAGACATGCTGAAATGGATTACATTGAAATTTTTAAGTAAAGCAAACTAAATTTTAGAATCAAAAACTTAAAAAATACTCTTGATTAAGCAGCTTTTTGTAAGCTACAGAAACATTCCTGATTAAGTACTTTTTACTAGGTATTTTTGTTTGCACAGTACAAATAAAAATGACAAAATTAAGTCAGTGTCACTTAAAATTACTGAAGCTACTTGAGCAAGAATGTTTGAACTTACAAAATTAGGTTAGTTTTACTTAAAATGTTTGATGTAATCAGTTTCAAATTAACTTTAATAATTAACTAACCAGGATTAACTTAAAAGGTATTGACCTCTGACCTCTAGATATCTGAATCCTCTTTCCGGTCCTTCCCACTTTATACTAATCACATGTAGTTTTGTGGAAAAAACATGCAGTATTTTGCATGTGGTATAAATGTTTTCTTCGCCTAGTGTGTTTGAATATTTCTGCAGACTGGGGTCCATAAACAGTGTTGTAATTGCATAAACTGGGAATGACCGGAAAGCTGAGACACCTACTCCATGCCCCCCCTACATAAGTCAGCCCCCCCCAAATGCTAAATTACTAGTTTTCTTTCTTGTGGTCATTATGTATGAATTATCATTTTATAAGGTGCACAGACAGACAAACAATTTTATTTTTTAGATTAGAGAAATTGTCTTGTAGAAAATGCTGTAGATATGACCTCTGGTGACAAAAGTAACCTTTGGACACCTCTGGAGCTTCATCTGAAAGGTTTCGCCTCCTGTTCATTCGAGTCTTCTCACCTGCCACTGAAGGGCTATTTATAGAGGGCGTCAGTATGTGCAGAGATTCATGAGATTACCCCCATAATCATGCAAGTAACCCTGGTGATACTAGTGTGATCCCTCACTGGCTTCCCACCTAGAACTACTTGGAATTGTGTTTTTTGGAATATATATGACCAGGAGGTATGTATCTATTTAGGATTATTCACTCTTAAAAAAAGATTCCTTCACAAGAGGAAACAGGACTTTAAATTGTATTCTGGCTAATGATGGCTATTGTCCAACATGGACGTAATTCATCAGGAGACTGGGCTTATAGTTTGTCTCTAAAGTGTATTTACATTTATTTAAATTATTTCATAATTAGTTTCGAGCAACAGCCAGAGAATTGTAATTGCTCTGCTTATCACGGTGTTCACAGTGAAGGTTTCATTAAGGTTTCAGCAGCATCACAAGTTAACAAAAGCCACCATCTTGTTTGTTTGGGAGCTCACTGCTGAATTATTCCAAGAAAATACACCTCACTCTTGGTGGCTACCCCTCACACACACACAGATGCACACACTTGTCACCTGCTGCCACAGAGTCCCTTCACTCAGCCGTTAAACCAACATGACATTTCCCTGTCTGGCCAAGCTCACACTCACATTGATCTTTTATTCATGAATACCATTTATTTCAACCTTTTTAAAATGATTGTGTTAAATGTCTTGATGTTTCGTGTTCCCATCACTTTAGATTTTTTTTTTTCTGTGCTTTGATCTGACCTTCTTTCCTATAAATATCACTTCTATGCTAGAACTACGATCATATCTTTGTTTTAAACTTTATTTGATATCTTTATATGTGATTGGTTGGCTAAGAACATGAAAAATAAAAGCAGCAACCTTTAATTTAACCCTTTGAACAACCAGAAAGCTTGTGCCTCATGGCCTGGCTCATACTGTATCTGACCAGCCAGATATAGGGGATATGACGCCATTGACAGGTGACAGGTGACAGGTGAAATGCAGCATTACCTGAATAAAATGACAGATTTTTAATGAGTTTAAACATTGTTGGAAACATCTGAGATATTGTAAGTACAAAACTCACCAAAATACATTTAATTTAACGCAGAAATGTTACATATTATAGATTTAAGTAAACCAGTGAGGGGGAGTTTGGAGAGGAATTCAGGAATCAAGTCTAGTCACAAATACTAAAACCAAAAGTTTGTGACCTGTGTTGTACTTTCCAGAAGCAAAGGTGCTAAATGAGAACATATTTCCTGCTGCTGAGGCACCAATAAAAAGAATCTCTGAGTTGTGGGAAACTGTGAGACATCCAGTTTATTTATGTCTTTAATAAACTCATCTATTGATTTAACAGGTTTATCAGGTTTTCAGGGGACAGGAATGTATACAGCTGAGTGTCATCAGCATATTTAATGGTGAAACAGTGTGTCCTAATGCGACACACAGGAAGAGTGCACAAACTGAACAACAGGGGACCAAAAATGTATCCCTGGCGAATACCACATAAAGTGAACCTTTATAAAACTGCACAGGACTCACACTCAGGCAAATTAAGGGCTTCCTCACAGATATTTCACTTCATTATTTCACTTTCATCAATGCAAATTTTACACTCTGAATAGGACAGCAAAGAGTATGTAATGTTGTAAGGAACCTTTTGAATGCAATAATTCAATAGCTGTATGCTGAGGGAATTGACTAAACTACTGCCTAAATTAAACAAAACTGACACAGACAGATATAAACTGAAAGAGTTCCTACATGAAGTTGTCACCAAAAATAGTAATAACAGTAACAGTAACAAGACGAGTCAAAGTAAAAAGAAGTCTTTATTCATTGTACTCTTTATCAGAGCCAGTACAATTAACAATAAACATGCAGTATATTGTCAATGGAAATGACTATTAGCCAGGACCCATACGCAGCCATTTAAGTGCAGTTTTCCCAACCTTGTAATTCACCGTACTGTTGTCCCAAACATCAATTAGGATAATGAAAGATGCAAAAGTGCATTTCATACCAAAAAGCAACATATAATCTCTCCTGAGGTGAAATTCTAATTTCAAATATACAATATTCCAAAGAATCTAAACAAATTTTATATATATATATATATATATATATATATATATAAAGTAGCTGGTCCAGGCACAACCATTAAGATACAATGGCAAACCTATTAAGCAAATTAACACTGTATTTACAAAAGCCCTGTATAGTGGCTTTTAAATTACAACAGTCCACTCAGAAATCATTATTATGTTGTCTGCTTTAGTGGATTATTTTGTCCATATAAAAACTGTAAATATAACCCTTAAAGATAATTATCAGAAAACAAAAGGAAACCGTAAACTACAAAATCCTTATATTACAGTGCAACATGTCATTTATCTTTGCCAACACATGCCAACGCATGTCAGTGATTGTTGATTTTCTTTATAGTGCAAAATTACTGAGCAAGCGATGTCAGGTTGTACTTTTTCTTCATACGTTATAGAAATAAAACAATATTATAAATTATTAAAGCCTCATAATACTTTCCCTGCACCACCAAGGCTGAAAATGATATATATCTGTAGTATACATTTAAGAAGAACATTTAAAAACGTATATATATATACACGATTTAAATGTTAATGCATTTACTTCCACACATTAATGAAAGAATAACAAACAGAAAAATGGAAGCAACAATCATTTTCTTCTATTGACACACAAGCTGTGGGGTTTTCCAGTGCAGTGAAGAGTCAGCGATAGAGACACATGTTGGTGCTCTGATACAGGTACATGTAGGCGTCGCAAAAGAGACGCTTAGCCACACCTTTCATGTCTCGAGGCACCTGATTGGCCAGCTCTGCGGGAGACATTTCCATGTACATGCCGACCTCAGGGCAGTGGTGAACCTCCGGGATGTTGAAGCCGTCTTTCTCTCCTGAACACAATGCACAACTGAGTCAAAGAGTGCACGTACAAATGGTGCACGTAATGAGATGAAGCATAAAACAACCACTCACCCTGTCTGTCTGCCATGCTGTCAAAGAAGATCCAGTCTTGGCTGTTTGGTCCGTGTTTGATGAAGGACACGTAGTGGCTGGTCTCGATGCAGAGCACGGCGAACAGCTCCAGTTTGTCTCTGGTCAGAGTGTGAGGTGTCCCGTGACCCAAGTAACCCTTGGGGATGTCCAGGGGAGCTCGCTGATGGGAGCGACGCAGAGGATGAGAGTGAACCTGGAAAAAAAACCACAAAGAAATATTATGTTCTACTTTATTATTAAATTACTCAAACATTCAAGTGAAAAGTTGTTGATTAGTTTTCTGTCAGTTTCCAGGGTTTCAGTTCTACATAATCTATCAGTACATGCAAGTAACACTTTCTGACAAAGAGGTTTAGCCACAGCCATAATACATCCTTTTTTTTTTTTTTTTACATACTTTCTAGTGTTTTTTGGAATGAAATGTAATATAATTGTTGAATCACAAGCCCCCACCCCACCTGCATGACTGCACTGGTGCCACTCTCACTAGACCACTCCCCCAGGATTATACATCTCTCACGTTCAGACCAGATTTCCCTCTTTTCCCTCCAAACCATCCCAGGCAGAGAGAGAGCAGGAGAGAACTGACTGTGCATTTAAAATGGACTTTTAAGCCGACCCTTGAATTATATAAATTGTGCATTAAATGTGTACACCACACAATAGCTTCTTCAACAATCCAAATATATTTATATATGTATATATCTCTGTCAGGGAAGCATATTATTCGGAGCACCTGTGATTTCTGATCAGGATCAGAACACTGTAACACAGCTTTACACCTCAACAGCAGCCAGAGCTGGTGAAGAGGTGAGCTCTATCACGTGGAAAAGTGGCGTTAATAGCCTTTCATTAATACTAAAGGCAGATACAATGATTTGTGTGTCCAGACAGTGATGCAAACAGCACCTGAGATGAACAAGTGTTGCAGAAGATTTTGAATCCCGTCTGGCTGAAGAGGGGATCCTTAAAACAGTCGGTGCACTCTTCCTGCGCCAAGTTTCCACACAGCATGCACTGCTGAGGACCTGAAACACACACACACACACACACCATGTTGTATTCACTACGTCCATTTGTGTTACATCATGTTCATCCATCCGGTGTTTAGCAGAACCTTCAGAGAGGAGGTCGGTGATGTCTAGCTCCAGAGAGGGAATGATCTTGTCAAACATCTTGAATTTCTTCCCAAAGCGAGGCATCTGGAGGATGAGGCAGGAAGGGACCTGCAGTTATGAGACAGTGAAGTAAGATGATCAGACAGAATACACACAACTTAACTCATTCCAGGAGGTGGGAACTGTCCAACAGAGCCATCTGCTGGAGAACCAACCTCAGGAAGGGATCGTTGGATAAATACATTTCCAGAGCAAAAAGATAACAAGTTTTATATTAGTTGCACAGATCATCACCAGCCATTACACCTCGGAGTATGTACAAATACAAAATATATGCTTATTACAGATTAAAATTGGAAAGATATGGGGGTTTTATTTTAATATCACTACAATTCATCATAGCATTATTCAAGGAGATCATGCTTACACACACACACATATATATATTATTGCCTTTAATTGATAGTGACAGCTGAAGAGTGATATATTTGGGGGGGCGGAGAGAGAGAGAGTGAGAGTGAGAGAGGAGATGACACGCAGCAAAGGGCCACAGGTTGGATTCGAACTCCAGGCCGCTGCAGCTAGGACGCAGCCTCGGTACATGGCTCTACTAGGTGAGCTATCCAGGCGCCCTACTGCAACTCTTTTGTAAGATTTCATTTTCCCCGATGAAGTGTCTCAGGGTTTTTCCAGCTAGGTGGTCAGCTTTTAGGGGACACGTGTTAGACTGGTTCACTGTTTTTTCTGCTGCAGTCTCCGGTGAATTTACTACAATTTACTACAGTTTTCGTCTAAGAAGAAAAACAAAAACTCCATGTGTTCTCACCTCAGCCAGCTTGAGTCCTTCACTATGGAAAGAATGTTCCAGCAGCTGCTGGACTGTAGGCAGCACCAGGCTGTGGTTCTGGTCCAAGAAGACCTGATAGCAGTAACTCTCGAGCACTTTCCCACCCTTGGAGCTAAAATGAGAGAGAGCTGATTGTAACTTCCTTCAAAAGTTCATTGTATTCAAGCTGTGTAGTTGGAAATAGCAATTAGCCGTGACTGTACAGTTTGAGTAGAGGATCGAGTGCAAGAATGTGCTGCATGATGACAGTGAGGAACTCCTCTGGATCTGAAAGACATCGACCACAACAACAGTCACTTTAAACCAAAAAAAAACAAATCAGCTGTCTTAAAGCTTCTGTATCAAACGGACCCTTCTCATCTGTGGTGAAGGAGTGGCTGTAGCCGTGTTTCTGCAGCTGCTGCCGCAGCTTCATGATGTGTCGCCCTTCCACGAAGCCCTTACTGCAAAGAACATACAGATATATATTATATGTGATTAAAATGACCAGAAAAACTATTACATGTCTTGCAAAGTACATACTGTTCAAGCACACACCTGCGGAGGGGGTTGACAATGTTATGGAGCAGTGTGCTCTGAATTGGGGCATCTTGAGGTTCTGTTGATTTAAACAGCATGGAGTCCAACACAGAGGAACAGGAAAACAAGCTGGAAGCACAGACAGCAACAAGAGTTAAGACATGAAAACCCACAACATTACAGCATAAATGCAAGTTTTTAATTTGGCTTCTTACACCACGTGCAGCCACTTTTGATTCCTCTCAGTTAAAAATATACTTGCAGAGATGTGAAACTAGTCAACAATACTGTACATGGGAGCAATTTTCAAAGCTTTTAGTTATGTTTAACTAATTTGAGAAACACTGCCTTCATGAGTGTGTGTGAAAAAAACATATTCAGAAGATTAAAAAGCAAACACAGACAGTAAAATAGATGAAGTGAATTTGATTGTTTCTTGTATTTAACATGGTTAAGTTGGAAATGGTCCTTGCTGATTATAGTACAAATATCGTTTACAGAGATAATTGTGCAGAAATGAACAGCCGTCTGGAAGGTAGGAGATCATCCTATAAAATACTGATGTTTTTGGGACAATGGTCTTCAATAAACATGAACATAAACTTCCTCTGAAGACCTTGATGCATATTATTTATTGTCCTACGTTCAGATCATCCTGACCTGAAGAGGGCAGCGTCCATGTAGCAGGAGTTGCAGTGGCCTTGGATCCCCCTCATTCGTCCAATCAGCATCTGGTTAACCTGCTCCGTGCTTATAGGAGGTACAGTCTCCGGCTTCCCTGTGCTGTGCTCCGTCTCTCTCTCTATAGTACACACACACACACACACACACACACACACACACACACACACACACATCATTATGGATGACACGTGGTGTGATTTGCATGTCCAGCTGGTTAGATAACGAGAATGAGTTTAAAAGGCAGCATTCTGCTCTTGATTGGCCATTTGTGTACACTTATTAGACAATCAGTGAGCATAAAATATGTGCATTCTGTACCATACATACTTGAATATATATTTTGGTATGTTTTTCATGCTTTGTGTCAACAGTTTTAGTTTCCAGGAGTTTTTATGGACAATACAGGACAGCACTTGCTCCCAAATGGTCATATAATTTATTGGTAAACCTAGCATTGACTTCTGCTGCAGGCTCTGGTGAACTGACTACAGTTCACTACAGTTAACATTATGGCAACAGGCCAGAAAAAACAGTTCAAATCCAGAAGAATTTATCTTGTTTTACAGAAAATTTCTGAATGTGAATGAGGAACTAAAATACAATATCCACATTCGGGGCAACCACTGCTTAAAAGTGTCCTCTATAACAGTGGACCCCTTTTCTATCATTGAGCAAACTGACTCCTCGCTAAATGACATATTTTATGGATATTTCATATTATATTGAATGCATAACTAAACTGTAAACAGTAAACACAATAACTGCAGGAAGTTTGTCTAAAACAAGTGATTTGGATGAATTTTGAGCAGATTATTTACTGTGAATATTGCATCAGAGATGAGATTCCTGATATTTTTAGGAACATTTTAAATGATTTTCTAGTATTTACTTAGTTTTTAACAATCATACATACTTAGTAAGTTTCTTTTTAGCCAAATTCAGTGTTTTCTTCTCCCTGATGCTTGTTTTAGGTCTTTGGTTGTTATAACTGCGTCCTTTTATAATGCAGGACCAGAAGATATAGGCCTACCGTGTATATTTTTATGGTTTTCCCCATGCCTTAAAATCAAGAAGGCTTTGCAACCCTTTTTTAAGCTTTGGCGACCCTTAGTGGGGCTCCTGAACCCTAGGTTGGGAACCACTGCTCTATAACAACACATGGATTTTCAGCAGACAAAAAAGTGCCACAATTGGGAACAAAAAGTTACTCAGAGATAATTATTAATCTTGTCCTCACCTCCGTTGTCCTCTTTTGGCATCATCTCGCTGTGTTTGGCCGATGTGCTCTGGAATCGTGAGTCAGGACGGCAGGAGATAAGCTTCACAAACAGAGCTCGCTTCGGGGGACAAGCGAAGAGACGCTCCTTTTTAAAGGTACCGTCACTCACTCCTGTGTCTTCCTCCTGGAAACGGATATATGCAGAAGAATAATGTCATTACACCAAAGATTCAGTCAAATGACTAAATAGGCACTGATTTGAAAGAAAGTGAACCTAGGAGACTTTTTTTTCCCATATAAGATGATGTGTTCCCATAAATGTACATATTGCATGTTTCAATTAGACCTTAATCTGCACGCTAACACGTCAACGTAAAGATTACCAGCTCTAGTCCAGCCATGGTATCCTGTCGATCAGGTAGCTTGCCGATCCAGCGGATGATTCCATATGCGTTGCCTTTACCCAGAGTCACCTCTACCAGGGAGTTCACACTCAGAAGATCCCCGTACAGATCATCAGGGTTCGGGTCAAACAGGGGTGCATCGACGTCCATGCGCTCTGGCTCTACAGTGAGGAAACGTGTGGGTCATATTTGTGGTCAAGATTTATAACAAATGTGGGAAATCATGTGAAGAGTTGTTCAGACCTGCAGGCACCTCTCCCTTAAAAACCGAAGAAAGTGGAACTTCAACTGTGCCCCCCGTCTTTCCATTCTCATCTTTGTCCTGGAAACAGAAACAGAGAAAATGTATAAATGTCCTGTAAAGTGAGAACCTTATACTGAAGGAAGTGATGAATTTAATTTGAAATCAGAAGGTTTGGTTGTTTCATAGAACTCGAGGATGAGCAGGAGCACACAGACTGTGGCAGCAAATACAGAAAATAAGATCAATCATTGCAAATCTGCATTTTAAAACATAATTCAAAAGGAGCAAAACACTATCATTTAAACTAAAACAAGTGAAATATTACTTACTGTGGAGATCACAACAATATCTTGTCCGTTCTCTACTCGCACATTCAACACCATCCCATGGAGACATTTATCATCGATGAAGTAGGTGACTCTCTCGCCTGGTTCCAGCTCCTCCGGCTGTGAGGAGGGCGCAGGGATGGAGGGCGACAGGGAGCTGGGAACGAGAGGCCTGACTCGGGAGAATGGGGCAAAAATGCCAGAATATTCTGAGCAGGAGAAGAAGGTTTGATGTTGGTACTTCCCATCTGTGCTCCCCTTCCCCCTGTCTTCTCCCTGGGGGGGGAGAGAACCATAACAGCGCCGCTGAATTAATGTCACTTACGCTCTCGGTTCAATACCTCTATCAATAAATCTGTTCATTTTACTGTTAATGATAGAAAAGCATACAGCAAAATGTATTTCTCAAATATAAACACACGACATAACACAGCTTATCTAGCAAATGTTGTTGTTGTTGTTGTTGTTGTTGTTATGTAACATAGACAGTGTTGGTGAGTTTTATTATGTTTCTGTCCACAAAGTTACAAAGTTACGATGATCTGCGAGGTAAAATGGCCGGTTCTTTCTATGGAGTCTGGTGGAGAGTGATAGCTATGTAACAGCTCAAACAAAAGGTCTCTCTCTGTAGGGATCCTTTCATAAGGTTGTCAGACACTGAGAATAACAGTCTGAGTCTGTCAGTGGCAAAAACAAGCACTTTTAGTGGAAGAATTGAACTTAATTAAGGGTTCATTTTGGTTTTGTCCAGTTTGAAGTGTGTTTAATGATTATCTGCCGGGTTAAAATTGCTGGTTTTGTCAATGGAGTTTGGTGGGTTGGTGCTGTAGTAGCTGTGAATTTGACATATATAACGTTTAGTCTCACCTGCAGTTCAATGCCAAAGAAAGTTCCTGATAAGGGATGGGAATGCGTCAGGTTTCCGATGTAGCGAATGATGCCTCTGAGCTTCTCTCCTCCTTCGTCCACAATCACTACAGCACCCTCAGTGAGTCCCAGCGCTGTTCGAAGAGCTTTCCTCTCTCTGAACCACTGCAGCCTCTCTGCATCGTCAGCCAGAGCCTGCAGCAGCCCGGCTTCCTCTGGACTCAACTCCTCCATGCTCTTCACCTCTATGTTGTAATCCAATGACAACTGGGAGCCCAGGAAGCAGACAGACAACTTAGGGGAAGAGTTAGCTGTTCTGTACTTATAATGATAGCTGTAACATATTGAACCCGCGTTGATGTGTCCTGGGTGTTCAGGTTTTCTTGTTATGATGAAGTAGTGGTAGTCTGTTGACGACATGTTGCTGAGGCCAGGAGAAGCAGCAGGAAACTGTACAGAAAACACACACACACACACACACACACACACACACACACACACACACACACACACACAGGTGTTAGTACAACAACAACAAACCTTTTTCTGAATGTTGAAGACAACTGTGAAGCTCGTTTAGAACACAGGAGCTGTCCGTTAATGGAAACCGTCAGACAGACAGAAACAACACGTCAAACGTCCCGTTAACGGAACCGTTTTAATCCAAAACAACGTTACAATTACTGCTTTTAAGTTACTTTCTCGACGGTTTTTGTAGTCAGCGTTAGTCAGCGTTACCTCGACTTGTTGAGCAGCTTTTGTCTTTCTGTTGTTAAAGTTTAGTTTCACTTCCCCTTTCGTTTCATTTCAGGACGGCGTCGGCCTTTCTCTCGCTCCTCCGCTGGAAAAAGGACAGTCTCAGTTTGTCAAACCTCGCAGACTCTTTATGTGAGCACTAATGTTTAACGTTAATCCCTCGAAACTGTTCGAAACTGTTCGTTTAAAGTTGGGAAGAGCAAACAGGAATAATTTGTGACGCTGTTCAAATCCGTTGACTGTAAACAGCGAGGAGGGAGGTTCGGGCCCTCGGCGCGGTCTTACAGGCAACACACTTTAAATAAAAGGTTTGAACGAATAATACTATGTTTAAATAAAGTTACATTTATTTATATATTCTTTATTGAACAAATGTAGATTACATACCAAACAGTACATTTTAACATTGTTGACAGCATGACAAAATGTGAGGAATTGGAGAACAATAACAACAACAGACTAGAGACACATTATTTCATCTTTATGGATGATAATAGATTTTAAATGTATTTTTAATTAAATGTAATAATATAGACTGTATAATTTAAACAAGTGACTATCTTCCTCTTTGCAACCTTTGCAGTAGATACATTATTGTCTACCTGGCTGGCTTAAAGGGTCAGTTCACCCAAATTCTGAAAAGATGTGTGAGCTTTCTCACATAGCCCTCGTGGTATCTATCCACGCAGATGGGTTTTAGTTCTGTGGATTTCAGATGTCGTTCCCTGTGATTTCTACAGGACCTCAACACAGTGGAGGTGAATAATTGTTGCATGTGTTAAAAAATGACACAATAGCAACTTGACTTCTCAGAAAACCAGATTTTTACTGGAACTACTTTCTGACAAAGAAGCAGTCTCTATAAAAACTGCAGACAGCGTTTATGTGTATTATCCTTTCCAGGGCACTGTTTCTGGAAAGATCCTTGACTCTTAAGCACTCAAACATAGGCTGTAGATTACGGTGGCCCTGAGGTGCAAATCAGAATCAGAATCAGAATTTGTTTATTGCCAAGTAGGTTTTTATGCCTACGAGGAATGTGACCTGGTGCAGTTGGTGCATAAAAATATATATATATACAAATACAAATATACAAATATACAATTATTCAAATTCAAATCACACAGAAATCACACAGAAAAATAAAGTACTTTCAAAAAATAAATAGATAAAGATAAGAAGAGACAGAGAAAGCTGTGCAGAAGAACATGGGTGCATTAATGTGATGCATACTTTATATACAGGGTGGGTATAAGAGTCAATGACAGTGGGTAATCCGGGCCTTGTTAAGGAGGCCAGCTGCCGACGGGAAGAAACTGTTTTTATGGCGAGACAACAGCAAACAGCAACAGCAAATCAGAAAACACATAGATATGGACTATTGGAACCCCTGTTTCTACCTCTCTTAGGTATCCCACATTAACATGCACGTATGAATACAATATTTTCCTTATTTAGTGGTTTGAATTTTCAGATTTGGCAACTTGAACGCATAGGTCTGTCGGTGTTGTGTTTCCGGTTTGGTTAATGTCGTTGTGTTTTCTGATTTGTTGTTGTGTTTTCTCTTTTTGTGTTGTGTTTTCTCTTTTTGTGTTGTTTTTTTCTGATTTGCCGTTGTGATTTGCACCTCAGGGCCACCGTAGTAGATAAGAGAAGACCAAGAAAGAACCAAACTAAATGTGTTTTTAATTTATACTGCATTTTATTGTATTTATGTAACTAATATTGACTCTGAGTCCCAATAACACTGTCAAATAAAATCAAAGACAACTTTTACTGCGTGTGCGACCTGACACCTGTCTTTCAAAATAAAACGCAAGCCTGCAAGACACAACTGAGGGCTTTCTCAACCTCCTCCGCGCTCTGTGATTGGACAATACACATCACATCATCCGCAGCGGCCTACTTTTCGTCGCTGTGAGATGACGGAGCGGGTCGGCGTGTAAACATGGAGGAGAGAGAAGCGCTGAAGAGACAGATTGAACTTCTACAAAGTAAAAAAACCTTCTTTATTCACCGTCGACAGGTTGTTCGGTGGCGGGCGGGTCGGAGGGGCGGTGTTTGACGGCTCCGAGCTGTCAGGTGACCGTCGGCTCGTTAACCGTTAGCCTCCAGCTCACATTAAAACGACACGTTGTTTTATTTAATGTTCATTTATTTATCTCCCTCTCTCTCTCTCTCTCTCTCTCTCTCTCTTTAAAGTGTGAAGCTGACACTCTTTATACTCTAGTTAAACACCGTACAGCTGCTGTTAGTGGCACCACTGCTGCTCTCTTCTGTCTTTTAGTAATCTGACTGAAGTCACACATTTTATGTTTGTTTCATATTATATTCAAAACTATACACTTGAAGCCTGTTTCTGAACTCAATGACTGCAAGAACTCTGTGTAAAGTTAGTGATTTGAATGAAGTTTGAGATTCCTGTTTAATGTTTTCTGTGTTATGTATTTTTTAAAATACTAGGCTGCTTTTTTTTTTTTTTTTTGGGGGATAAATTCAGTGTTTTCTTAGACAATTTACTAATAACGCATTAATCACAACTTAATGATAATGTGATAAACTTAGACACTGCTGTTTAACTGCGAGGCGTAACGGTAAATGGTTGATTGTGATGGTGATATATGTATTTATGATGTCTCCCACACAGTAGAGTGGAGCTTTAATGCTCCACAGGGGCCGTTAGTGAATGATAAAAAGTTACAGGATGAATTAAAAACATCTGATTAAGAGATCTCTCCTGTTACTGCTGTCTTCAGTCCCAATAAAAAAGGCACGTTGACTGCATGTGCAGAATATCCAGAGTAACATTGGTTCTGAAAAGATGCCGTAGAGGTTTTTATTGAACCTGAACTATCTACATCTACATTATTTTGTAGTGTTCTACTTTTGAATGGTTTCTGTTATTATCGCTCATCAGTCTGGAAGTGATTGTACAACTAAACAACTCCTTATTTCCAAATTCCCAGATCTCATCAACAGACATAAGAGCGTCCATGGCGACACCCCATCCACAAGAGTTGAGCAGAGGCAGCAGCCAGAAGCTCCGACATCAGCCAGAGGTCACAGCGCATCTGTCATCCAGCCTGACAGCTCCAGAGGGAGGCCATATGCTCCTCAGAGCCACGGAAGTTGGAGGGAAACGTACTCGCTGAAAAACAAGAACCCCCAGTCCTCTGTTGGCCATCCCTCGGCTTCTACCTCCTCCTCCTCCTCCGTTCATCAGTCTAGTTCTCACAGTATCTCTCACAGCACCTCACTGCCCAGCCACAGCAGAGGGGACGAGGGCGATGGAGTCAAAACTGCCACTTTACCTTCAGGGCTCCGTCATCAGAAGAGAGAAGGACATGTAAAGAGCATCACAGGGATTAGAGGAGTTGCAACAGAGATAAAAAACACAGACACTCTCAGTAAAACAGCGGCGGCTGTGTCTCCGCACGGAGATGGAAAAGGAGTTTCGACAGGCGCTACCATGCAACATGAAATGCTTCACAGACAGACTCAAGAACTTCAGCAGAGTTCGGCTGAGAGCAGGCACGTAGTCCTGCCACAAAAGAAACCCAGCAGATCTTCAGAAGTGCCCTCAGCCAACACCTCGACCAGTTTGCAGAGCAGCCCTCAAGCAAAGACTAAACCTTCCCCAACAAGCAAAACCAGCACGGAGACTAAACGTTCTATTACTGCGACAACTCCAGCTATTCTCCCGACTAAGAATACCGCACCACCCCCCTCTGCGCTGCCTAAAGCATCAACACAACCTTCCATTAACCCCACGTCTCACACCAGCCGGGGCCAAGTCGGTGCATCCTTTTTGAAAAAATCCAAGTTCACTTGGGTGAAGAGCCAGAACGTGGGAGGAGTGGAGCCTAAACAAGCTAGTTCGATCTCCTCCCCCACAGGCAAAGCTGTCACTAGTTCCCCAACGTCAGTGTCAAAGGCTGGAGTTGCCACTGGAAGCCCCCCCTTAATCCCAGTCAGTAAGAGAACCCCTGCCAAGAAGTTACCTCGAAAGCTGAGTCCCGTCACTGTAGCCCCCAAGACCTCCAAGTACAAATGGGTCTCCTCCTCTGCAGGAGCACAAGCTAAAATATCTCGAAAATCACTATCGCCCCGAACCCTGGCTCCTCCCCAGAGAGCTCTGGAGAAGGGAGAGGCCACCAGGAGACTCAGAGCACCCTCCGCTCCCTCCGGCAAGATTAAAAAGGGGATTGCGGGTTCCTCTAGCAGCTCGTCGCCGAGTAGCCGTTACCGCTGGAAGGCTGGAGGTCAGAGCACCTCGGCAGCAGCGACAGGAGGGGCAACGGCGGCCCGTCGTAGATCTGCTTTCCACTGGACGTCAGAAAAAGGCAACAAGGGAGTGAAAGGAGGGCTTCTTGCTTCCCCAGCTGTAAACCAACGTACCTCCCTTACGCCCTCCTCCTCCCCCGCTGGGTTCAAGCTCCGCAGCAGGATGAAAATCATTAGGAAGTCTGCTAATAGGTAAGTAATGGAAACACGCACACAATCTGTGTGTTTACTCACCTCAAGGTCTATATCTGCTCAGAGATCTTCTCGAATTATGTTCTTTTCAATTTGTTTTGTGTAACTGTCTTTTGCCAGAAGGTGGCAGCAAAGCACTATTGTTTGTATACACGTGAATTAACTCGGTTTTTGTCTATATGATATGCTTAAAAGTAGCCGTTAGTCTATTACTGATTACACTTCTGCCCTTTATCCTGTGACCACAGTGGAGGTGGATCAGAGAGGGGGACCAGCCCATCAGCAATAAAGTTCTCCCCACGGGGCCGCATGCAGAGCTCCACCAGGAGTCCCATAGGAGTTAGGAGGACACCCTCCAGGGAGCTTGTGTCTTTTGGGAGACACAAGTTGAGGCGGCTCCCCACCACCTTCTCAAGGACAGGTAAGAAGCACACACTACAGACTAAAAGTACAAATATATTGTTGTGAAGTGCTACATACAATTTCATTAAGATCATTTATTCTACAGTTTTCTGTCATTAGTTGACTCACTGCTCGAATGAGACTCACTCATACTCACCCGCTACGTAGTCAATAAGAATTACACCCCACAGCCATATGGTGCTGCTATGACAACTTGTTTGGACCAATAACTCACCAACTGTCCATCAAGCATTCAACAATCCTAAGTCCCCAAAGAGTTCTCCAGTCCTGCAGGATCTCCTGACGTTCCCACCAAACTGGGACCAAATTGTTCACAATAAGTCTAGTGAATAGAATATTACTAATGTGTATTAGCAACTGTAAATATTATTTTAAAGGTCCAGTGTGTAACATTGAGGAGGCTCTATTGGCAGAAATGGAATATAATATGCATAATCATTTGACTATAGGTAATTTATATGCTTCAATTACGGTAGAATGAGCCTTTTATATCTACAGACACCATGGGTCGCCCTCTGTAGTGTCTGACGCCATGTTTCTCCTTTGTGCTTGGAAGGGGAGGGTAAATGAGGGAGTTGTGATCTTCAATAACACTACACTATATCCTACACACTGGTCCTTTTTAAAAAAACCGAAAGATACACAGACCCACTGATCAGTTTTCGCACACATAGAAGCTCAAGCTTACCCTCAGAGGGCCCAGTCCTTCTATCTAGCCTCTCCAGATGGCAGGATCATATGCATGACTCGATATGATACAACCCCTCACCCCAAAACATCACCACGTCTCACTGGGTTTTATGCGTCAACGTCAGCACAGCAGATTTCTAACATGTGGTTAGTGGTTAATGTGCCATCAGAGAGATCTTTGAGTCTCTATCATTATAGCACACAAGACTGTATATACTAACATAAAAACTAAAACTAAAATAAATCAAAATATACAGTTATTTATGTACATATATACATTTATATATAATCTATGTGTATATATATATATACATACATACACATATTCACCCAGGATAATAATATAATAATTCAGCCGTGCTTCTGTGCATTTTTTAGCAATACATTCGTCTCGATTGGGTTCCACTGCTGGTACCGTCCTCTCAAAGGAGGACCACTTCAATGTTCAGTTACTATAAGAAAATGTAATATCTGAAACTTAATAACAGCATACATCATATCATCTTTGTTGTTCTCGGCCAAACAACAAATAACTAAAGTTATTGAAAAATAAACTTTTCACGTATTTGCAGGCCCCTTTGACCTTTTGACATTTTTTAAAATTAGAATTATGTTGTAACTGTAAATGAAGGGGTAGTTTAAATTGACATGAAACAACTAGAAAAACAATTCTAACGAATAATAATCTTGTGTAATTTATAAGTACGCTGGCAGTTTGAGAAGTTAGTTTATTAAATTTTGTTGACTTTTATTTCTTTGTACTTTGACGCCATGTCTCCCTTCAGTTCTTGTGTCAGTTCTGCGCCACCTGTGCTCCAGTGTGTTCTCGACTACTGCCAACTGCATACCAGTAGAGTACAGTATGTACTACTGTATATACTAATTGTCGTCATGCGTTGTTTAAGTAGTTTGTTTCAATCAAGCAATTCACAAAGAGAAAGCAACGTTTCTTTTATAGTTTTAAGGCTTATTTTTGGTTTTCCAAGATCTTCCTGAGGCTGATTTTACTTTAATCTGCGATTCATTTTAGCCTCTCCGTTTCCCTTTGTGGGATAATAGTGTATATGAACAGCGCACCCCAAAAACAAAAACATATTTCTTCCTACATACTGTATTGTTCCAATGTTTCCTGTGTTGAACACATTAAATACTGTAAACCTACTTATAATTGGTATGTAGTATGGAATGGGACAAAGCTCACGAGTAATTGGCCCTTCACTGTTGGCTCTGACAGCAGCTGTTACAGCCATCTCCAGTAGAGGGCAGCAGCTCACATCCTTGTAGCCCTTGTAGGGGCTTTGTGTTGCTGGCTGTCACTAGAGAGGCTTACAGGGAGACTATAAGAGGAGGAGGGGGGAGGTTAATTGATTGCCCAATTCAGCCGTGATGGCGAACAAGTGCCGATAGCGGGTAATTTGCAGAGGTGGAGGCAGGCAGCGCCACTGCTATCAAGCCCTGGCACCGCTCTCCCTCCAGTAGATAAAAAGGAGCTAATGCATAATTATCCTTTTGCAAATTGGATTGTTTTAACGAACTGTAGAATATAGGCCTAACCTGATGGAAAGCAATCATTGTTTTTACAGCTCCCTCCCTCCCTCTCTCCCCTCCCCTCCCTCCTCTTGCCCCTCCAACCCTCCGGTCATTCTGCGTGTACCCTACACGCCTCATGCCCATCTTGGTGTAATCTCCCATACTCAATGGAGTCAGAAGACATTAGAAAAGCCATCACTATTAACATTAGGCTTTATTCGTCCCTGTGGCTCTGCGTCTATCAGTCTGCTTCTCTTTTTCTGATTCTTTAACTTTATGTGTCCTTTGTCACACCTCCTACATCGTCTCACCCCTCCTCTTCCTCTTCATCATTTCTCCGTACATTGTATGTCATGTTGGGAACCTGAATGGCCTTACAGCAGGAACACATGCACCTCTAATTAAAGACGGGGATTCAGACCCAGAGATGCAGGAAAGGTGGAGCAGGGGTGAGCGCAGAGGAAGATGGAGTGAGGAAAGCTGCTCGTAGCCGTCTGTGCCTCCGATAAGAGCCGCTAATAAAGAGCAAATTGAATTACTAATGACGGGAAGCAGAGTCCCTATAGATGAGCCCGTTAAAAACCAACCTTATGACCACTCACACATGCATGATAATACACTCACAAACAATGTGTCTTAATTTCCTCCCCAATGGCCGGCTTTAGCCTCTGCCTCCCTACGTTAGGTGGCGGGTGTTTTTTTTGAGGTGCACGGTTATCTGTGGTTTAATTTAAAGAGGGCATAAACCTAAGTAAGCAGTTAAGGGCTGGAATGAATCGAGGTGTGTGTGTGTGTGTGTGTGTGTGTGTGTGTGTGTGTGTGTGTGTGTGTGTGTGTGTGTGTGTGTGTGTGTGTGTGTGTGTGTGTGTGTGTGTGTGTGTGTGTGTGTGTGTGTGTGTGTGTGTGTGTGTGTGTGGCCGGAGACAGCCATGTAGCCCAGATAATCTAATAAAGCAGATAAATGTCAGGAATGGACAGAACACAGAGAGGAAGAGTGCTGAGCCGTGCGGCTTCGAGCCCCATGTGACAGGCTTCTGGAGCGTTTTAGGTCTCCATCTCACTCCGGTTTTCTTTCCTCCCTCGCCATCTCTCATCCAGTCTCGCTCAGTCTTTTTCCTCTCTGTAGCTGTCTCCGCCGCTCTGCTAATATGCCTTGCGACTCTTTTAAGCCCCGCGCTGTATATCAGTTTGCAGACTGCAGGCATTTTTCTGTATAATCTTATTCTAGGTGTGAACTGAATGTCATGTGAGTTCATCTGAATTTATAAATTACTTCCTGGAAGATAAAATTTAAAAGAGCTAATTTAAAATAAACAGCAGAACAACATATTGAAATAAGTTTTAATATATAACACACACACACACACACACACACACACATTCTGATGTTCGTCTTGGGGCAGTTTGGGGTTCTTGGCCAAGGACACTTTAACATTGTATTAATTTTCTCACATCTGTAGCAACATGCAGTCCTTCACTTTAACTACAGCATAACTATCTCTTATTACTCTGAGATATTTACAAGTAGATGTATCCATTGGCTCCTCCGGTTTTACTTCTCAGCTGGTCCTTGGCCCTGTTTATGTAAATCATAAAACACGCACACACACACACACACACACACACACACACACACACACACACACACACACACAGAGGTCAGATTGTTTGTGTGTTGTAGTAGGAGTGTCTCTCTTACAGTCACCTTTGCCACCTTTGCACTCTCAGCATCAACTTACCAACATGCTGCACTCCCCCCCTCTACCTCCCGCTCCCCCCTAATACCATGGAACCCATTACTACCACAAAGGATTCCTGCCCCCCCCACACCTCCAGGGATCCTGTTACCGTGCCTACAGTGATCCCATTTATTTCACCCATAAATCATATGTTGCTGCTCTGCATCGAGGCCATGCTCTCACTGACATTTTCCACTTTCTCCGCTGGTATGTATGTACGCACTACTGTATGCACACACTGCTGTATGTTCTCGCTAATGTATGTACGGACACATGCAAACACAGATGGGATACCATCAACAAACAGCCGTGCTCTGTGATAATTTGAGGAATGCAGGAAGCAAGTATCAGCTTCTTCATCAAGTGTATCGGCCTATGATTAATGAACTGATTTATTTATACATATCATTCAACCACACAACAGTAACAGCACCTTCTGACTAATCTGTTTCTAGTAGAATAAACGTATTTTAATTTGGTTTTGTCTATTTTATTAGTAATTAATGTGTTCATCCATCACTAATAAAATAGACAGACACATTACTATTTTATTTTGTTTTTCTCCTGCTCGTGTGGTGCCCCCAATCCTTGTTAATGCCTGTTTGCTTACCACTGTTTTAAAATACCATTAGAAAGTTGACACTAAATGTCGATTTGTCTGCTTTAAAACAGACCGTATCATTTGCTGATTGCAGCTTCTCTAGTGATGTGTTACACCAAAGTCAAGAGCAACACACACCGGTTTTCAGTGTAAAGGCATTCATACACCGATCACGTGACAAACAAACAACAAGAAAATGCGTAATACGGAGCGGGACAGGGACAGGCGGAAAAACTGCTGCAGCTTGCAGAGGTCCCGGGGTTCTCGGGGGTCACACTGCTGAACCGGACGGACGCGGATAGATAGGTCGTGTTCACCGTCATCATATACAGTCTGTTAAGACGTCAAAGTCACACAAACAAACTAATTAAAGCAGTGGTAGACCAGCAACTAACCAGTGTTCTGTGAGGTAAAATGAAGATGAAGGCTGTGAAGAGA